CAGAGCATGAACGGGGGAGGGGCAGAGAGAGAGGGAGACACAGAATCGGAAACAGGCTCCAGGCTCTGAGCCATCAGCCCAGAGCCCGATGCGGGGGCTCGAACTCACGGACTGCGAGATCGTGACCTGGCTGAAGTCGGACGCTTAACCGACTGCGCCACCTAGGCGCCCCAAAAACCACTTGTTTTAATTTGCATTTGTTAGATCACAGGCAAGCTTCATTTACACAATTCATTTGTGTGAATGATTTACTCATAATTTTTTGCCTGTTTTTATACTGGAGTCTTAGGGTTTTTCATGTCAATCCGTTTGAGTTCCTTCTGCATAAAACTTGAGGAGTTAATAGGAGAACAGCACTTTTTCCCCTTTACTATCTAGCTGGAGGCAAAGTTTTTAAGAGTGCAAAACTGTTTTGGTTCAGCATATTGGATTAAACATAGGGATCTACTCTTCCCTTCCAAACCCTGTTAAGGTAAAAGAAAATGTGTTTTTAATGTATTATTATTATTATTTATTTTGTTTTTTATTAATAATTTTATTATTACTTTAAGTAGTCTCCATGCCTACCATGGGCTTTGAACTCAGGACCCTGAAATCAAGAGTTGTATGCTTTACCAACTGAGCCAGCCAGGCTATAAAAGTTATTTTTATTTTATTTTATTTTTTATTTTTATTATTTTTTTAATGTTTATTTTTGAGAGAGAGAGAGAGAAAAAAATGTGAGTGGGGGAGGGCAAAGAGAGAGGGAGACACAGAATCTAAAGCAGGCTCAGGGCTCAGAGCTGTCAGCACAGAGCCCGATGCGGGTTGAACTCAGAAACATGAGGTCATAACCTAGCTGAAGTCAGACACCCAACCTACTGGGCCACCCAGGTGCCCCAAGAAAAGGTATTTTTAAAAGAAGGAATCCTGAATAGTCCTGGAAAACAACTTAAGGATACTATTGGTTGACCAGATATTTACAGACAGTTGAGCATGTAGAAAGCAATTAGGGTCCGAAGCTTCTCACTCAAGATGGCAGACCAAAAACACACTTTGGTCTTCTATTCCCTCTTTAGACTTCTATGAAATAGATATTAGGTGTTTAACAAGCAACACAGCAAACTGAAGTAGTAATAGAGGCCGTGGTGAATGAGGGAGGAGAGGGACTCACTTTAATGTAAATGGTTTAAATAGGCAGAGCAGGTGTGAGGAGGGAGAGGGAAAGGTGGTGAGAAATAGCCTATGAACAGGGACAGTAACAGCTCTCTTTCCCATTCTCGTGTGCATGGACAGTTTCATGTTTATAGTGGGCAAAAACCCAAAAGAAGTGGCTCAACTGTCTGAAGAAAACTAAGGCTTTTCAGTAGATGTTGAGGGCAAAATAAAGTCAAATTTAAGTATGCAAAAACTCTTTGTTTCCTACCCAATAGAGACCGTTTCAGAATTTCTGTCTAGGTAGAGCAAAGGTATAGCAAGCTGAGTGAAAGAGCTTCCTAGTCCTGGGCTGGACTTCACTTTAGCTTGACCCAAAAGTCAAGTCTGTTTTCACTAGAAGATTTCCATTCCAAATAAAGTGGGATGTGGCATGGAGAGACATGACATATTACTTCATGTCTTATTTATTTTATTGAAGTTTATGTACTTACGTATGTATGTATTTTAGTAATCTCTACACCCAATCTCTGAGGCTTGAACTCATGACCCTGAAACTAATAGTCCCATGCTCTTTCAACTGAACCAGCCAGGCATCCGCATTTCCTATTTAGATTTTCTTTTCTAACCACAAAAGACTTAACATTTTCTTTTTTCAATTTTAGTACTAGTAAACAGGGCAAAAAAGGGAGCACATAATTTGGTTTGACCAAGTTGGGGACCACAAATTCTATGGAGCCACGGAGCAAGGCGACCAATGAATATGGAGTCCTAGCGTGGTTCCTTGAAGCCCTCTTTCAGTTCTGGACCGGAGGACACATATTCAGTATTGGCAGATATGGGGCTGGAAAGCAGGTATTCTTACCTCCACAGTTGGCCTTTTTCCTCCTATACTTTCTTGTCAGTAAACTTGGACAGAAAACCAATTTTACTGAGCACTGCTCCTCGTGAGAGTGCCCTGCAACCATCCTCAGATCAAATGCAGCACCAGGCCTAGTGGCAGCAAGTTGGGCATGCTGGTGTCAAAATGACTTAGGTGATTTGAGAGCATGTCAGGACACTCCAGAGGAGACTTTCATTTACCTCCTGCTTCCACTTATGGAGTCCCAGTAGTCCAGGCTGATTAGGATCTGTAAGTTGCTGTTCGTATCACCAGTGACTGGCACACTGTGATTTTTCAATTCACCTTTATTGAATAAAGTGTTTGTAACCATGCACAAAACATGGTGATGGTGAGTGCTTGTGAGCTCTGCTATGTATGGTGGAATAGTGTATTAATAGCATAAGAGACTGTTTTGACCTGAATTCAGATTAAAGAGATTGGAAAATTAAAGAAGAAAGAAAAGAAAGAAAGAAAGAAAGAAAGAAAGAAAGAAAGAAAGAAAGAAAGAAAGAAAGAAAGCAAGCAAGCCAATTTTACTAAACCAGAAAACTTACTAGGAGACACTTCCTGCTCCAGCTCCTGGAACATCCACTTAAACCAAATTGGATTCAATTATTACCTTTTTCCTGTTGTCTCAGTGATTTAAAGTCAAGTGATTAATTGAAGAAAATTTGGAAAATACAGAAAAGTATGAAGAAATAAGTCATCCACAGCCCCATTGCTCAAAGACAAAATGCTTGTGTATTTTGGGACATTTCAACTCCAAGCCTTGAAAGATACCTAAGATTAACACAGAAGATAGGGCTAGCCTTATCACTTTACTGAGAGATGGTCAGGAACTTCAGTGATGTCAGGTAATTTGCTCAGACTTATTCTTGGGTAGTGGGGACCAGGAAGAATTCTAGAAGACTCCAATCTCTGAACTCTTTGTTGACTAAGTCACACTATTTTACAAAACATTAGATTGGAAAGCATCACAGGACTCCCCACCCTGAATTTCTTTTCCCAGAGAGAAGCGAGGTTAAGACAGGAGCTCTTGCCATCTCAGTTTGGAGTTTTGAAGCCCATTAACTACAGGCCTTTCCTCCAATTTTTAAAATTTAAAAAATGTGTGTGTGTGCGCGCGCGCGCACGTGTGCGTGAGAGAAAGAGTTTACATGCAGATGTTAAAAATGAGAGAGCAGTCCCCAAAGGGAGTCACTTGTGCCAAATTCCACACTACCAAACCAAGACTTAATACCTAAGTGTAGTTTCAACCTCCCAGGAATGTAACCTTTAACCATACAATATGGAATTACCTGGTCAGCATAGTGAGTTAATCTGCTTGATAGATCCCCTTAGGAAGGCATCCTTGCCTGAAACAATGCATTCTTTGCTAACAATTTTCCTGTTCTGTCCTCTTTCCACCTTTAAAAACCTTTCCTTTTCTACAGCTCATTGGAGTTCCTTTCTATTTGCTAGGTAGGATGCTGCCCTATTCATGAATCCTCGAATAAAATCAATTTGATCTTTAAAAAAAAAAAATTAACTCAGTTACGTGTTTGCTATTTATCACAGAAAAGAAAACAAATCTTAAGCGCACAGCTTGATAAATGTTTACACAGTACTTACCTTTCAGGAGTAGAGTTGCCCAAGATTCCCTCAGGCCACTTTCCAGGAAGTGTCCCAACCCTGACCCTAGAGGCCCCACAGGGGCTTAAAAGCACCATAAAAGTTTCTCAGTAAAGATAACTAACATTTCTTTTTCCCCTCCATTGCCTTCTTTGTTTTTAAATAAAATTTTTATTTTGAAATAATTTTAAATTTGCAGAGAAAAATTAGTATATTCAGTTTCCCATGATGCTTACATCTCACATAACCATGGCACAATTCTCAAAACTAAAAATCACTAGTAATTATTATTAAAGTCAAGACTTTATTTGGAATTTCCAATTTTTTCACTGTCAATTTTGCTGTTCCAGAATTCCATCTAGGATCCCTCACTGCACCTGACAGTTTCTCAGTCATTCCCTGTTTTCAACGACCTTCATAGTTTTGAGGCATACTGGTGAAGTATTTTGTGGAACATCCCTCAATAGGGATTTGCCTGATGTTTTTCTCATTCCACTGGGGTGGAAGAGCACAGGAAAAGTGACATTCTCATTACATCATGTCAGGGTTAAATATTACCAACATGACTTACTGCCACTGTTGATGTCAACCTTGATCACATGGTTGAGTAGCGTTTGTCAGGTTTTTCCACTGTAAAGTTATTTTTCCCCCTTCTCACACTTTACTCTTTGGGAGGAAGTCATTATGCAGATTGAGGGGTGGGTGGGTGGAGATTAATAGCCCCTCATAATGGAGGATGATTAATTAGAATTCCTCTACAAAAAAAAAAAAACAAACTTTTCTTCCCATTAATTTATTTAATCATTTATTTACAAAAGAAGGGCTTGTTTTACACTGTAAGTTATAATCCAATTATGTATAACTTATTTTGCTGCTCAAATTGTTCCAGATTTGGCCATGGAGAGCTCTTTCAGGTTGACTTCTGTATCTTATGACACGCCTCCACGGTTTATTTTTTGAGCATTCCTTACTTCTGGCGCTACATCAAGCTCCAGACTCTAGGTTGTACTTTTCCTGCCCCACCTCTAGAGCCACTCATTTCTCTAAGGAGCCATGGCTCTTTTTATTGGAGGGTTATATTTAGATGCAAGATCAGGGTGCAAACAGTTCCTTTTCAGTTGAAAAGTAAGCCTCCCTTCACTCCAGCAGAACTGAGGATGTCCCAGCCCCCTCCCCTCCCTCTTCAGCTCTCCTTTCCCCTGCCCTCCCCTCGGCTCTCCTCCCCTCTCCTCCTCTCCCCTCCCCGCGAATACCCAGGCTTCGCGGTGGCCCCCAAGACCATTCCAGGCACGCCCCGCGCGGCCAGGCGCATGCGCCACGGCGGTGTGACGTTGGACGGCGGCCAGGACGCAGGCGTGGGGCATTTGCAGCCGGAGAGCCTCAGCGGCGTCCTTGCGCTCTGTCGCCCTGCTTCTGTGCTCCGCGGCGGCGGCCCGATAGTTCGCAGGTAAATGTCCCTGTCTGGTTCCGGCGACCCTGAGCCGGACCCACCCGTCTGCGCCCCTTCTTCTCCCCATCCCCTGGAGTTGGTCCCTTTGGAGCCTCTCTTGGGGCTCAGCCCTGTACTCCTCCGAGAAGACCCCCTCTCGGCTAGCGTCCCGCCCCTCTCCAGTGTCGGTCCTTGCAGAGCCTCTGCTAGAGTTGCCCCGCTCTGCGCGCCCTCCCCTTCCCTAGCGTCGGTCCCTGCTGAGCTTCCCCTTGAGCCGCCCAGCACCGCACCCTTCCGAGAGGACGCCCTCCCGGGCGTAGGTCCCAGCAGAGCCTCCTCTAGCGCCGCCCACTCGGCGCCCCTCAGAGTTGACCCCCGGCCCACATTCTTTTCTCCCGTTGCTCGTGTCGGCCCCACCAGAGCTTCTGCTAGAGCCGTCCATTTGCGCGCGCCCTCCTCTTCCACCGTGTCGGCCCCTCCAGAGCCTTTCCTAGAGCCGCCCATCCCGCGACCCTCTGAGCTGACACCGTCGGCTTCTACCAGGCTGGAGCCGCCCAACTCCGCGCCGCTCTGCAGGGACTGCCCTCGGCCCGCGCCCTCTCCCCTCCCTGGTGCTGGCCTCTCCAGAGCCTCCCCTAGAGTCTCCCAGCCCCGCCCGAGCTCTCCCGCAGCCGTTCCGCTTCCCGCAGTTTCTCCCGGCCGGCTCGCTGCCTTTCCGCTCCCCGCAGGTGCTCCCACCCGTCCCGCTGTCTTTCCTCCAGCTCGGGTGTCCTAGTGCCGGCTGTCTGGTCGAGGAGACTTGGTCTCTTTTTCGTTCCCCTCCGGCACGGAGATCGCACCCTCTTTAAGGAATCCAGAACGGCATTGAAACTCTGCACTCGCGGGTGCGCTCGGCCCCCTCTTCGTTTCACCTACTCTAAGCTGTGCAGTCTTAGGGCCTTGGTTGTACTTTTTCCACATCTGATCCTTTCATTCATCCAGATCAGGAACTCTGAACCTCAGCGGGGGTTTATTTAGTGTTGACATAGAGTTTTTTGTTTTTATCTCAAATGTAGAGTAAATTACATAGAAGAGGCTTTGTAAATGAACGAATAGTAAGTTCCCGTTTTTTCAGGGAAGTGGAGGGAATGAGGTACGACTGTCAACACTACCAAAAAATCTAGAGCACTGTGATTAATTCCCAGCACCATTGACTCCAAGTCCCTGAGAATTTTTTTTTTTTAAGTACCTCCTCTGATTAGGACGGGGTGAAGCCACTGCCAGAGGCAGTTCCCTTGTATTTAAAGGGAGGAAAGGGTCTCCTGGTCTTTGAGGAAACCAGTGCCAGTGCAGGAAGTGAGTTGTCAGAAGTCACGAGGGGAATTAGGGCCGAGCTGGGACTGTTTAGCTGCCTGTTTACTTTGGCTCTCTTTATTTGTTGAACAAATCAATGACCAAAATATTTGCCTATATGTGCTTGTGCAGCCAGGTTATCTAAGGGCCAGCCTGTACATGGGAACGAGAATGTCTAGGGTTTCCTCTTCCTGGTAGTGATTTTTTTTACTTGACTCCTCCTCTTCACCCCCCCCCCCCCCCCCCCCCCCCCAGCAGCATACTGATCTGATCTCTGAGGGCAGAAATCCAACATATGTTGGAGGATCATCCTGGCAGATGAGGTAGTGTTCAGTAAATGCTTTCTAAGGGAGGCTGCAGAAAATAACTCAGAATCTGACAAAGGTTCTTCACTAGCATATTTTTAATGATGTCAGTACATTTTATAAGTAAAATTCCTAATAATCTCAAGGACTGAATTTATGAAATGTGTGCATCAGTGGTATAGAAAGAACAGATACCACTCTTGTTGTGATAGTCCTATTCTTCTGGAAGATACTAGTTTTTCCTGACTCTCCCTAGAAGCTATGTATGCTATGCTTCCCAGTTTGCCACCCTACAGGAATATTTGGTTTCTTTCTCCTTACCTCTGCCTTTTTTCTTTTTTCTAGATGTGTAAAGAAATTAAAAATGGTTAGTGTCTCTAACTACAAAAAACTGCAGATAGTAAAATAAACTATTAAACATGTTACAAAAAGTGGGCTGTCATGTTTTATTGGTTGTATATTTGCTTCTGAATTTGATCATGGGCACAGACAGTTGAACTTTCTTATCTGTCTAGTTTGTCTGCCCTTTGATGAGTACTTGTATTAGGCTTGTTAAGAAGTGGTTGCTACTGCCAGTGGTTGTAGTGCCAACGCTACACTGACCTCTGAGTGATGATGGCTCACCCAATTCTTGTCCCCTGTATTTAGGGTACACTTGGGACTTCTTGTTGCCTTTACATTATTGTTATTTAAAAACTTTTTTGGGGGGGCAGCTGGATGGCTCAGTTGTTTAAACATCCGACTCTTGATTTCCATTCAGGTCATGATCTCGTGGTTTGTGAGTTCGAGCCTGGGCTCCACATTGACAGTGGGAGCCTGCTTGGGATTCTCTGTCTCTCCCCCCTACTTTCTTTGCCCCTCCTATGTTCTCTCTCTCTCTCATTCTCTTAAAATAAGTAAAATAAACCTAAGAAAAAATGGTTATAATTTAAAAGAAAAATAATTTTTTTCGGGGCATCTGGGTGTCTCAGTCAGTCATCCAACTCTTGATTTTGTCTGAGGTTATGACCTTATGGTTCATGACATTGAGCCCTAAATCGGGCTCTGTGCTAACAGCATGGAGCCTGCTTGGGATTATGTCTCTCTGCCGCTACCCTGCTCATGCTCTGTTTTTCTCAAAATAAGTAAATATACATTAAAAAAACTTTTTTTTTTTTTTTTTTAAGGTTTTAAGTTGTCTCTACACCCAGCATGGGGCTCGAATTTACCACCCTGAGATCAAGAGTGGCACGCTCCACCTTATCCTTCCAGGTGCCCCTAACATTATCATTTTTTTTTAAGGTTTATTTTTTTTTTGAGAGAGAGAGAGAGAGAGAGAAAGACAAGAGTTCTAGCTGGGGAGGGTAGAGAGAGGGAGATAGGGAATCCTAAGCAGGCTCAGACCCATGAACTGCAAGATCATGACCTGAGCCGAAGTTGGACACTCTACTGACTGAGCCACCCAGGCCCTTCCCCTACACTATTATTTTTGAAGAACAGAGTTTTCCTCCCTTTGAAAAGGTAGGAACTTTTACAGTTAAGGTACAGAGAGGGCTAACTAGAGGAACCAGGATATTGTGAATGAGTCAGTTGTAGACACGCAACTCTAAATTGCATTTCTTAAAATAGTAACGTAATTATAGCAGTTCTCAGTTTTGGAGCACCTACAGGGCTCTTTGGGCATATTATCTCATTTAATTCTCACACTAACCCCCTATGAGATAACTAGTAGTGCCCTGTTGTACAGGTAAGAAGAAAAGTGAAGCTTGGGAGGTTTAGTATTGTGCTCAAAGTCATACCAGTTAGTAAAAGGCAGAGCTCAGAACTGACAGATTCCAAAGGCAATGTTCTTTCTACCTCTTAAATTAATCTCTTTTGGATTCAGTGCTTTTAAAATGATTTCAGTTCACATTTAAAATAATTTGAATTGTTGAAGGGCACCTGCGTGGCTCCGTTGGTTAGGTGTCCAACTCTTGATTTTGGCTGAGGTCATGATCTCATGGTTTATGAGCTCAAGCCCTGCCTCGGGCTGCTGGCTGACAGCATAGAGCCTGTGTGGGAATTCCTGACCCCACCTTTCCCCTGCTCATGCTTGCTTTTTCTCTCTTTCTCAAAAATAAATAAACTTAAAAAAAATATGAATTGTTGAATATGGTTTATGTTTAAAACTTCCTATAGGTTTTCTGGCATGTGTGTAATGTGGGTATTTTGCAGCTAGTTTGCTGGTGTTTTATTCTGTTGAGACCCAACAGCAGGACTTTTATCTGATGAGTTTTAGTTTATGCAGTAGATCTTGCTCCAGGATATAAATAGTGAAACGTTGAAATAAGTTATGAAGTGATGTGGACTTCAGCAAAGTAAGGCAAAAAAATATTCCTGTTCCTTTAAAGATGGATTTGGTTCTGTATTCAGGTAAGTTTTTTGTTTGTCTACAAGATTTTTGTTTTTACTTCTAGTGTATATATGTTCAAATTTTGACCTTCAAGAGCATCTTAATTTATTAAGTCTTCTAAGCCATTTGAGAAGCCACCTAATGTGTTTCTGTCTTCTGGAATGTTTTGGGCAAATTTTATTCATGTGCTAGTGAGGAAGTAATAGTGATAATAGTAATTGCTGCGTGAGCAGCTACCAATTCTTGAATTTTAGTAAATGTCAGGCACTATGCCAAATATTTACATGTTTTTTCACCCAATTTTCCAAATATCTATCAAGTAGGTGTTGGTGTTCTCATTATATGGGCTAAGAAACTAAGCCTTGGAAAAGTTAAATAACTTGCCCAAAGTTATCTATAAGTGAGTGAGTCAGGATTTGAACATGGGTCATCTGTTTTTGTCTCTGCTGCTGGTCTCTCTGTGATTTATGCTTTGTTTTCCCCTTAACTCATTTTAGTTGCATTTCAGGAGGGAGCAGAGTTAGCTGTTTATGCTCCTAATAATCCATCTTTAATGTTGAAAATAGCAAAGCAGTCATTAGCATGGGTAATCTTGACATTATTGGTATATCTTTTGTCTTGGATTCTCATTTTAATATCACTGTGTGTCTTCTCTCTTTGAAAATAACTCTCCTGTGAATTACAGTGTTTAGTGATAAAAATACGGATTTTACATAACTGTAATATTTTTGTTTAACACAGAAAGAAAAATTAAAAAAATGGATGTTTGAAGTCTGCCTCCCCCGCCCCAGCACTGTTTCTAGGTAACCTCAAAGCAGGGCAGGCTAGTAGGATCAGGAATTGGCCTAGGCCAATGAATAGTAGGATACCTCTTTTAGGCAGTGACATGTGAGTGCTCTGTAAGGCTGAAGGCAGGACTGAGTGACAGTGTCTCCTCTGTTCTGGTCAGGGTTCAGGAGCTTGGCAGGGTATGGATTCTAGACAGATACAGCTGCAGTCCAGCTTAGGTG